AGAAAAGTGACTGTGAAGTGGGCTGCCCCCTCTCCTCATTTCCCCACTTCCTTATGAGGAGATGAGATGTCTAAAATCTAGGAAGATTAGAATTTGTGCACACTGAACTGTTGTCAATGAGCATGAAAGGAAGCTCCTTCTGTGCTCTGCCTGGTTCAAGAAACACATCTAGTTCAACACTCTGCTGGTACAAGAACATCTAAGTAAAAGCAAAGTTTTGACATCTCCAGATCAAATGTACTATAGCCTGCCAAGAGATTCATTCAGCACACTTGAATAAAAACACCTTTCTAGAAAGGCTGTTTGCCCACCTGCTTCTGTTTGCAGCACCCAATATCCATCACGTGTGTTTTCAGGAATCAGTGAGGATGAACAATAAAAAAAAGTGACTCAAACGCTCCTCTGGGCAGGTGCTTGTGACCAGCTCACTTAGAAGGTTTGCTCTGGGGGTGAACGTGATCCACCACCTCTCGCCAGGTGTCCACACCCAGACAAATAGGGAAGAAGGGATGAATCTCTCCACAGTTCTGGAAATAGATTCTGGGTGTGCAAACCACTTGGCCAAGTTAAGCATTAAACATTTGGAAAGTCCGGTTTTGAGAGAGTCTGACAAGTTGCATTTTCATGCACCTCCCATAATTTCAACCCAAAAAGAACAACGAACAATTCAAATTAGACAAAACATCGGAGTCTTGTGAAAATGCCAAAGAAAAATGTCTAGAAAATTGTTCTTTCTTTCCCTTTTTTAAAAAAACTAGACCCTTGTAGATTCTGGTCCTCTTTCAAAGGTGCTTTGAACAGCATGGGGTGTCCTACAGAGGGCCGCACAGGAGCCTCGGAGAACCCTGGGACCTTGCAGAATGGCAGTCAGCACATTCACAAAGCTCTGCTTTTAGGTTTAACTGCAGCGTCTCCGACAAGCCACTCGGTGACAAGAATCGAATAAGGACAGAGGAGATCTGTGTTCACTCCTACCTGCAGGTGGAGAGAGCCCTTTCCCCGTGCCCACACCCTAATGGGAGCACAGCCGTTTGCCCTCCTCCAGGTGGCCTCCCCCACCATTGTCAGCCTCAGCCCACCTGGCTCATCCCCTGTGGAAAGCGGCAGCAGGAGGTCCACCTTCTGAAGCTGGCGATGCTGCCAGTAAACGTCCAGACCCTTTCTGCAAAGCTCTGGTTGAACTGGTCCCTGTGGATCGCCATCGAATCTGACCCCAGGGGTGGACCTTGAGAGCCATGCACCCATGGTAAGTCCTCAAAGATTCAGAAGAACTATCCTTCCCCAAAGCCTTAGCCACAAGAGCAGAGTATCCTGTGCCAAGTGCTGTGCTAGGTGTGAGGGAGGGATGATGCTAAAAATCAGGATGAGAGAAACGTTTCTCTCAGACTCCAGGGAACTTCGTGCCCATCTCTCTCCCACCAACTGGAAATTAAGGAGCATCAGCCCTGACTTTTCTTAGGTGACCACCTTCAACACCGGCTGTCCCTCAGGCCCCACCCTATCCCACCCACCCCTTGTCTCCACATCACCAGCCCCCAGGATGCTTCCTACCTCTTGACACCTAGGAGAGTGTAGAGAAAAACCTCCTGCTCTGTCTTCCAAAAGGTAATACCAAAAGCCATGTTCCCCATCCTCAACAGAGTGAAAATTAAACAACGGGAAAGTATAATTCAAATTGGCAAAGATTAAAAAAAGAAACTCACTAACTTAATATTGGTGAAGTTTGAACATATTCTCCTATGCTAGGAAATATAACCTTTATATAGAGGTTATATATATATATAGATTATATATATATATATACATATATATATATAACCTTTCCATAGAGCTATTTGGTTACAAATATCAAAATTTTAAAACTTTTGTAGCCCTCTAATTTCACTTCAAGGAGTTTATTAAGAGGGAATAACAAAAAATCTAGGTAGAGATGTAGTCACTGGCATGATTGTCTCCACCTTGTTTATAACAGTAAAACTTTGGAAACAATCTAATTTTCCAATAATAGGGAATTGGTTAAACAAAGTAAGACTTGTGTATATAATGGGATCTCATGCAGCCATCAAAAGTGATGTATAAACATGATCATGGCATATTATCAAGTAAAAATTAAAGCAACTACCAAACCAAACACGCACAATTACATCAGTCTTGTAAAAATCAGAATACATCTACAGGTGTACCTCAGAGATATTGTGGGTTTGGTTCCAGACCACTGCAATAAAGCATATCTGCTTTCCCAGTGCATATAAAAGTTATGCTTACACTATCCTGCAGCCTATTAAGTGTGCAAAGTGTTATGTCTAAAAAAGCAATGTACATACCTTAATTTAAAAATACTTTATTGCTAGAAGATGCTACCCATCATCTGAGCCTTCAGGAGTTATAATCTTTTTGCTGGTGGAGGCCCAAGAGCACCTCGATGCTAGTGGCTGCTGACCGATCAGGGCGGTGGCTGAGAAGGTAGGGGTAGCTGAGCCAATTACGAACAAGAAGACACAATGAAGTTGCCGCATCCATTGACTCTTCCTTTCTCTTGAAACTTAGGGGCCATTGTAGGGTGATTAATTGGCTTAGTTTCAGTATTGTTGTGTCTCAGGAAATAGGAGGGCCAAGGAAAAGGGAGAGAGATGGGGAACAGCCTGTCAGTGAAGCAATCAGAACACACATAACATTTACTGATTGTTTGCCATCTTATACAGGCAAAGTTCATGTGGCCCCAAAACAATTACAATGGGAACATCAAATATCATTGATCAAAGATCGTGTAACAGATATCATAATAATGAAAAAGTTTGAAATATTCCAAGAATCACCAAAATGTGACACAGAGACACAAAGTGAGCAAATGCTGTTGGAAAAATGGTGCCAACAGACAAATGTTGCCACAAACCTTCAATCTGTAAAAAACACAACTGTCTGCAAAGCACAATAAAATGAGGCACGATACAATGAGGTTTGCCTGTATTAGCAGCAAAACCGAAATCCTGAAGAATCATTGTTGAACTTTAACAATGATATCCGTGTCTGGGAACATTATAAAAAATATTTTGCTCTTTGTATTTTACGTTTTTCTTATTTTAAAAATTAACGAACCTACAACACCCATTAGCATGGCCAAAATCTGGAACACTGACAACACCAAGTGCTGACAATGATGTGGAACAACAGGAACTCTCAATCATTGCTGGTGAGAATGGAATACTTAGTAGGTGAGTGGATAAATAAACTGTGGTACGTGCAGACCATGGAATATTAGTCATCGCTAAAAAGAATGAGTTATCAAGCCATGAGAATACATGGGAGAACCTTAAATGCATATTACTAAGTGAAAGAAGCCAGTCTGAAATTGCTATAGACTGTCATTCCAACTATATGACATTCTCCAAAGGCAAAACTATGGAGACAGTAAAAAGATCATTGTTGCTACGGGTGAGGGAGTGGTGACTAGGCAGAGCTCAAGGGGTCTGAGGGCAGTGAAAACACTCTGCGTGACACCCTCATGATGGATCCATGTCACTACACATCTGTCCAAACCCATGGGATGTGAAACACCAAGAGTGAACCCTAATGTAGACTATGGATTGGGATGATGATGGCGTGTCACTGCAGGTTTATTGGTTATGACAGATGTCCCCCTCTGGTGGGGCATGTTGACAGTGGGGGAGGCCATGACATGTGGGTGCAGGGGGCATACGGGAACTTTCTATACTTTCCCTTCAATTTTGCTATGAACCCAAAAGTGCTCTAAAAAATTGTCTTCAAAAAAAATCAATGAATCTCTAGCCCAAGTCATCAAGTAAAATGTTAAATGATATCTTCCAGGGCTAATGATAAATTTTCTCCCAATTTGCTCTGAGCATCAGTACTCAGGTAGGAAATGCTCTGCTCCACCATCAACTGTCCTGTCAAGACATGGAGAGGGAGGACACATAATTAAATAAAATGGTAGCAAAGTGATAACATTTTGTCTGGGAATAATGTACTCTTTTTAGGAAAATTGTTCCACTCTGCCTCTCCAGCACATTCTTATTCCAATATATTGATTGATTCTTTCATTCATCAAAATTTTTGAGCCTACTGTGTGCCGGGCACTGTTATAGAAGAACAGGACAAAATCCCTACCTTCGTGGGCTTACATCTGAGTGAGGGCAGAAAGGAGGAGGGAGAGAGAATGGCAGTAAACAAGTGAGCAATGCTATGAATAAGATAATTTCTGGTTGTGGTGTCATGAGAGATATAAGGCAGGTGATATGATGGAGAAAATAGTAGGGAAGGGGGCTGCTTTAGATCTGGAAAGGGCTCTCTGAGGGAGTAACTATTAGGGAGTAATGGGAGGGAAGAGCAGCGGGTAGCAGAGGAGAGGAGGGGAGGGGTGATCCCAGCAGGAGAGACGTCAGGTGCAAATGTCCTGGGGTGGGAAGGCTTTGGCATGTTTGAGGATGGGTGGAGACCAGTGAGTTAGGGTGAGGGTGGGATGAGGCATGATGGGAAGTGGGGCAGAGTCTAGACCACAGTGAGCCTTGTCTAGGCCACCTCAGCTTAGAGATTCTGACAACACATCAGAATGGAACTAGGTATTAGAGTCTCATGTCTGGAGCTCAGGGGAGAGACTAGGGCTGCAGATATAAATCTGTGGAGTTTCCAGCATTGGGTGGGACTTAGAGTGACCAGCTCATCCTAGTTTGCCTGGGACTTCCTTGGTTTTCAGCACTCAAAGTCCCACGTTCAGTGAAACCCTTCAGTCCCAAGCAAACCATGGTGGTTGGTCCCTCGAATGGCATTAAAGCTATGAAAAGGGATTGTATTACCTGGGAAAAGAGTGTTGATGGGGAAAAAAAGAGGCCTCAGATGTGGTCCTGTGCATTTCAACACTTAGAGGTCAAAGAGAGGAGAGGCTCTGAGTCCGTCTTGCTGTAAGAGCAGCCAGCGACCTCTCTTAAAATCAGACCAGACACATTCCCCGCAGTGAAGTGGTGGGCAGAATGCAGAATGGGCATGAATTGTATTACACTGAGGGAAGAGGGCTTGGGGAGTTGAGGCCCCCAACATCATCCAATGGGGATCACAGAAGTGGCGTTCACACTGAGACCTGGAGGATGACGAGGCTTGCCCTGCGGTGGTGCGCAAGGGAGAGGGTGGTTTTCCAGGCACATCGAGAAGGGCACAAAGGTCAGAGAAATAAGTTCAGAGACACGTGGGTCCAAGGGGAGGTCGTCAAGGTCGGGAGGTAGGGTCATGACTTTGAACTTCATCCTGTGGGAGAAGGGGCACGATGGATGGCTTTTAGTGGGAGAGTGATGGGATCAGATTTGCATTTTATTATTTTTTAATTTTATTGAAGTAAGGTTGATTTACAATGTTGTGATAATTACTGCTGTACAGCAAAGTGACTCAGTTATACATATATATACATTCTTTTTCATATTCTTTTCCATTATAGTTTGTCACGGGGTATTGAATATAGTTCCCTGTGCTCTACAGTAGGACCTTGTTGCATTTTAAAAGGATCAATGGCTTAAGTGCAGAGAAGGAATTCATTCGAGCAGGGTAAGGATGAGAGGTGGGGACAACAGTCCTGGTGAATGAAAGGTTAACATGCATGTGACTTAGGGCTTTTACCTTTGTTTCCCTCTGCTTTCTAAAATTTCCCCCTGGAACATAAATTACTTTTTAGAAAAGAAAAATCAATAAAATGCCACTTTTAAGGGGAAATTGTACAGAAGTCAGTGAAAAGGAGAGAACATGATAGAAAGATGAACACGATGTCGTGGGTGTGAAAGGCCACGGGGGACCCCCCCCCACCGCTGCCCCCCGGGCACACCTGTCAAAGACAGGCATTCGTTCACCCCTAGACTCCCCACTTTTAACTACACGCACGATGAGTCTCTTCAGATGAGTTTCCTTTTCTGGAAGCTTCAGCCCTACATCATGCTGATGCACCCAAAACCTAGACCCTCGCCCCCATCGCCATCCTGGTGCATCTATTGCTTTATCCTTTACCAGGATAAACTAGACACCATCTGTGTGTGCGGCAGGGCGGAGCAGAGAGGATAGAGAGGGCCCTCTTATACCAGCCGGTCCTTTTCTTTCCTTTCACCTTCACAGCCAATGGAGTCTCATGCTCCTGTTCAGTTTAGAAACTGAGACTCATATATATCAAGTCGTTGGTCCCAAATCACAGAGCTAGTCAGTAGCAGGGCCAGGGTTTGCACTGCTGCCTCCCAGCCGGCAAAGCCATTGAAATACAATATGGCAAATTGCAGGGTGGACTCAGGAGGGGGACTTCCTGGTTCAAATATCAGCTCCACCACTTATGAGCTGTGTGACCTTGAGAAAGATATCGATACCTAACATCGACAGACCGCCATCTATGCAGTGGGTTGCCAATGAGGGTATCTACCTCATAGATTTCTCGGGAAAGCGGAACTGGGAATTCATGGAAGGTGCTTAGGACCCGCCTGGAACAACACAGACTTACAGTTGTTTCCACTAACCCAGCCTGCCTTCCCACCTATCCCAGACCCCCAGCCTTGGGAAACTTTTGGGCATCTTGCTAACCAGCTTCCTCAGAGAGGCTCCAGGGTGGCGGCTTCCCTTGGTGAAGAAGGCGGGAAGAAGACACCCGCTTACGAATTAAAGGTCAGTTAAAGCTAAGCTCTCTGCTGTTTCTGCCCTTTCAGGAATATTCCTCATGCTCAGAGACGTTGGAAACATCCACCTCGATTCTACTCAACACGTGTTGATAAGCCCCAGCCTGAGCTCTGAACAGCCCTAGAATCTCCCTGAGTCTGAGAAAGTGACTTTATGTCACTGAATCACTGATAATCTAGTGACAGAGCCAAGAGAACTGTTGATGAACAGGGACTGCCTGAGGCAAAGGAGAAGGAAGTGCAACCCGAGAGAAATGGATGGAGGAGGATATGCAACAAGGGTGCAAAGCCGGATGCTGCACAGCCGGGGGCGGGAGAGAAAAAGGAGCATCTTGCTGCGAGCGCAGCACTGACTGAGCTGCGGCACGTAAGTTTCCACGTCTTTCCAGAGGTTTGTCAGACGAAAGCATGGCATGATACTGATGAATTCGTTGCAAGGAGAAGCATAACCATCAGGTGACTGAGTAGCGCTGCTTCACCCCCTCCAACCCTACTCAGGCAGATACACGAAAGAAGACAATTTATGATTGAAAGGCAGCTTGACTAGCCTGAAATCGCAGCCATTGGCTGTGTCATCAGATTAAGATCCTGATACTCTTTTGTCCCCTGAGGGGCTTCCCCGTGGCCCAGAGCCCACACTTAACACTGTGGTCAGGGCACAGTCTCCCTGGGAGACGTTACAAAGTATTGCCAAGCTGTGGACCTGATACTACGTGGGATGCTTTCCCCAAGGCACCCAGGGGTTACAAGTGAATGGCAAAATCGACTTCAATGTAAATATTTTAAATAGTCAAGATCTAATTGGAGAACTCACCCACATCAAGGCTATAAAGAGGTCAGGCTTGGGAGATGCAGGTTTTGTGACAAGCATTTCCCTGGGGAAAAGTACAAAACACCCCTGTAGGGGTGGTACATGGAAGTGCGCCTTTTCTCTTCCTTTCAAACTTCTGTAGGATGGATTGGACCTGGGGCTCCATGTGCCCTGAACTCTGGGAGGCCTGGTGGACTGATGTCTGACATCTGTGCAAAGAACCCAAAGATGAGAAGCTGTGGGCTGTGGGTTTGTGGCAGCAGCAGGGCAGGGAGAGGGGGACGGGATGCAGGGAGCATGAGGTCACTCCCATCGATGGGCGCACGGGACTCCGGGCTGTTTCCCACGGACCAGGTGTGGGCCATGATGGAGAGACAGAAGATCTTAAAGTGGGCTCAGGGGAACATCCTGGAAGGGCACTGGTGCCACAACAAAGAGATTCTGGGAGAGGGGAACTCCAACAACCAGGGGCAGGGCCGAGCTCCTAACCAGCTTCCTCAGAGAGGCTCCAGGATGGAGGCTTCCCCTGCCTCGTGGAAAGGGAGGTGGATGCTCGAAGAAGTGGAGCCTCGGAGATTCCCCCGAGAAAGGGTCACCTGCAAACAAAGCCAAGCCCTGCTCTTCCAAAGGCTTGGTGACATCAGGAAACCAGAGTTGTGGGCCAGTGTCTGGGATAGACAGTGGTCACTGCTCAGGTATCATTTCAAAATCTATGAAGACAGGGAAATATGGAAAGAATCCAGAATTCGATCAAGCAACAAAGAATTGAGAGAAGGAAATTACCTGGAACCTTAATGGGCTGCCTTGTCTACACATATCAGATGGAATCATCAGAGAATGGAATGACTTCAACCCGAGGGGTATCTGAAGAGTGTACACCTGGAGCTGCCTGTTACATAAAACGCTCAGTGGGTCCCCATCTAGTCTTGCAAATAGGATCATGCTTATATCAGTTTGATCAGAGAAACAGAAGCACTTAGGAAGTGATAGATTCAACAAGAGATTTAACTGGATACAGTTGTGGGAGCTGGTGAAACAGTCTCCCAAAGGCTGTTGCCTTTGTGTCTGGTGCTGGAGCTTGAGGTCTGCAAAGCAAGCAGTCAGACTGGGAGACTTAAAAATGGTCTCCTAAATCATAGCTATGCAAAACTAGAAAGAAATGTAGTGATGCTCTTGGCTAATTTTCTCTGCAAGAACAAGCACAGAGGGCTTCCCTGGTGGCGCAGTGGTTGAGAATCTGCCTGCTAATGCAGGGGACACGGGTTCCAGCCCTGGTCTGGGAGGATCCCACATGCCGCGGAGCAACTAGGCCCATGAGCCACGACTACTGAGCCTGCACGTCTGGAGCCTGTGCTCCGCAACAAGAGAGGCCGCCATAGTGAGAGGCCTGCGCACCGCGATGAAGAGTGGCCCCCGCTTGCCACAACTGGAGAAAGCCCTCGCACAGAAACGAAGATGCAACACAGCAAAAATAAATTAATTAATTAATAAACTCCTACCCCCAACATCTTCTTTAAAAAAAAAAGAATAAGCACAGAGAGTTCTGTTTTGGGGGGTGGTTTGGGGTGCCTGATGTGGTCTTCATAGATCCCCACAAGGCCCCTGGCCACGAAATTCTTCCTGCAGGTAGAGTTTGATAGGAAAAAAAACACTTAGATTCTCATCCACCTTTTCCAAATGCATTATCCATCATTAATGGAAATAAAGGACCTAATTAGGGGCAAGGGAATGAGTTGGAGGGAAAGAGGACCCAGGTCAGGAAGTGGAGAAAAGAGCTTCTGATAAACTGTACTGCTGTCAAGACACTTTCACATTCCTGTCCTGTTTCACTGGAGCCTCAAGTCACCCCACAGGGCGAAATAATCAGGCATTATTATCCTCCATTTATAGAGGAAGGGACAGAAGCCCACAGATCTCACCCGAGGCCACACCACTGAGGAAGGGAACACACAGATGCTCATCTGGGCCTTGCGGTCCTGACTCATAGGGTCTCCACTTCACTCCGAAACTCTCAGTCTCCCAGCTCGTCAAACTGGAAAATGACAGGCCTTGGTGAGATGCGTCCTCTCCCCCAAGGTCCCCTGACACCCCAGCACCTCTCACCCTGAATCTAACTTCACGTGTACATGCTCCCCGACCCCTGTGCCTGCCAGCACTATTGCTCACTGCGTGGTTGAGGAACAGGACCGGGGCCTCAGCATCCCAGGCAGAAGTCAAGTAGACCGAGGCCAACACAAACAGTGAGACAGGGTGTCATCTGCCTCTACCCTCATCTCAGAGCCAACAAACCGTACAGAGACTTGGAGTCTTCAGCACAGAAAGGATCCCACACGTGACCTCTGTGGTTCTCAACACAGTCACTTACGGAGATAGTTCAAAATGCAGATGCCCAGGGCCCCACTCAGAGCACCTGATCCAGGAGGTCTGGGATCGGCTTCAGACTTTGCATTTCTAACAAATACCCCTACAAGAGTCTCAGGGAGTACTCAGAGTCCTTATTCCTGTTATCAGAACAGGGGGAGGGAACACAGCTGGTGTAATGACAGTTCCCCGGTCCCATGGCTCCGCCCCTCCCGTGCTCCCTCCCTCCTGGTGAGAACCGCATCACCGTCCCCTGTGCCCCGGGCAAACGGCATGGACCACATCCAGGCATACTGCTGTGCATCCATCGGGGGACAAAGGCAGGTACCAGAATACACATTTAGGGACAACGGTGGGTAGCAGAAAACACCAAAAGCGAGTGAGTTCTTATGTGACCAACTCATGATGTTTTGCCCCTTGGATGGTTGTTCTGAAAGAAGAATGCCTGTATCTTACTGTGTTCATTTTGAAATATTCACTCTTCACTAAGACTCTGGAAGGAACAGACAAATGACAGGAGTAGAGAATTGGCATTTATTTTCCTCAGCACTGCTTCCCTCGCCTGCCCTGGGCAGGCTCACAGGGTGAGAGCAACCAACTAGAAACGCAAATGACACTTCACATTTGAGACACATGGTTTGGTGCCTTAATTGATTCCATCTTTGCTTTTTCGGTCAAGCCAACAGACAAACAGACTTTTTAGCTTTCATCTCCCCGGCCCACAGAATGCAGAGAGTCTTTATTTTAATTCAGGGAGCAGACTCAGCCTCCACCTTATCCTCCTATGACAGTAGGAGGTGATGTTTCCCTGACGCGTCCCTTCAGTTTAAGCCAGTTCGACTGATTAATTGAAGAACTCTCCCCAAACCTGACAAAACACATCTGCAGGCTATGATACGGTCTCACTGCTTCTGCAGGGAGACGGTACTGCATTCAGAACACGTTTATCAGAGAGCCAGGGGCTCCCAGAGGGCCACCTGCCAAACCCAGCAATTACACTTTGCAGTTTTGCCGATTAAAAAGTGTTTAAACATCTGCTACTTAAAGGATACTTAAAAAGTCATAAATTAAAACCCGGGGGTAAAGGAACTCAAAGTGAACAGAGAGTGAGAAGTTCTGTGTAAATAGAGAAGCCGTATTTTTTCATTGCTGAAGGTATCCCTTGACAACTTAAAAATAAGCGCTAACTCAGGTGTCCATAGTGTAAAATAAATCTGAATAAGCTTAACAAAATTCAGGTAGTCACCCACAATAAAATGTAATACCCTCACTCTTTTAACTTCTAATCGCGCGGTTTGCTTTGCATTGGCTTTTACTGAGAGATGGGGGCCGCCTAGCTAGTTAGGGCAATTGTGGGCTCCAGGATCCCAAGCCCATGCAGGAAGTGGGCTGGAGCATTGCAAACTTGACACACAGAAGATAAGTTTGTTGTGCCTGGTTAATTTTCAAGAAACTTGCCAGCTTTCCATCATGTATGGTTCAGTTTTAAAGAACCCTATTAACTATTGCTCATAACTGGCAAAGACTCTATCACTGCTGCTTCATACTTTGGCATTTATTTTCATCTCTCTTAAAAATTAGATAACATCATATTGTCCCTTGCAGTTTAAGTATCTCTTTCCTACACACGACATTATTTAAGAATATTCTACTAAAAAAGAGTGGATATATGTATATACATCTACTTTGCTGTGCAGTGGAAACTAACACAACATTGTAAATCAACTCTACTCCAATAAAAATTAATTTTGAAAAATAAAATAAAATTCTGGGGGAAAATATAATATTCTAACCTACAGTCTTTTCAGTCACACCTATCTGTAAAGGAAAAGTTAATTTCCAAAATGAAAAGTTTGGCCGTGGCACCCCTTGTACATGGAGAGAACGGGAATTAATGGGAACGCAGCCACTTAAAAATTCTGTCCATCATTTATATAAACCCAATTCTGTGGGTCTTCTGGGTCACACACAATTTCGATTCCCACACTCTTCCAAATACCCTGATGGAGGCCTGAACAGTCTAATACACTTGTAGTTTATTCCCTTTTAACAATGGTTGATTTAGTATTTAGCTCAAAACTAGATTTCTTTTTTGCATATTGGTTACATTATAGTCGTGGGTGGACGGGTTTGTATAAATAAGCATCCAGAGTGTGTATAATCTGGGTAGCTGGCAGTTCAGTTGCCTCCCTCGTCCTTTTCCTGTCTGGATGTAAAACGAGGTTTTCTCCTTGGTCTCTTTTGCAATTACAGGGAACTTCAGCTTTGGCCCTCACTGGGTGTGTGTTTCACCCATGCAGGGTAGAAATCCTGGTGTCAAAACGGAGCTCAAGGTTACAGTCAGCCGACCTAGGTCAGGTCCTGCCTCTGCCTCTCACAGGCAGACTGACCTTCAGGAAGATACTTGGCTCCTTTCTTTCCCTTTTCAAAAAGTACAATGGGAATAACAATATCCTTTGATAACTGCCAGAGCCACTGTCAAGTTCAAGTGAGTACATGAGTGCAGGCAATCATACCCAGAGTTTTTTTATATGATGACTCTGTTTAGTATCTCAGTAATAAATTTAAAAATAAATGAAAAGGGCTTCCCTGGTGGCGCAGTGTTTGAGAGTCTGCCTGCCGATGCAGGGGAACATGGGTTCGATGCAGGATCCCACATGCCGCGGAGCGGCTGGGCCTGTGAGCCATGGCCGCTGAGCCTGCGTGTCCGGAGCCTGTGCTCCGCAACGGGAGAGGCCACGGCAGTGAGAGGCCCGCGTACCGCAAAAAATTTAAAAATAAATAAATAAATAAATGAAAAGAAGGACTTGTGGTCAAAGACCTGTGAAGATGCTTCATTGTTATTTCCACAAAGGACAGAGACTTGAGCACTCAGTGGTATTATTCTTTTAAATGACTTCTGTTGTCTATTCCTAATTCCAAATGAATACATGTTCTTTCTTAAAAATTGGAAAACAAAATGTCACTCAGAACAAGAGATAACAATTCTTAACATTTTTGTACCCTTACCTAACAGTCTACAGCTATGAAGATAATTTTTTTTTCTTTCTTACAAAACTTGGATCATAATGCATGCAAATCTGGGTTCCTGATACTATTTCCTCTGGAGAGGTTCTCAAGAGTGAAATTACTTGGTCCAAGGATTGAAAATCTTTGAAGGCTCTTCATGAATTCATCCACATCTTTTGAGAAAATCTGTACCCGTTTATAATGGCACCAGTAGGGAACAAGTACACTTAGCTTGCAGCAGCGTCCTAGCACTAAGTGTGATCATTATTTCAAATTTTTGGTCAAATTTCACTTATTTGATTATTATTGAAGTTGAATTTTTTTCATATCCTGTTGGCCATTTGTGATTCTTATTTTTCACATTGTGTTTTCAGGAATGCTCTGAGCTGAAAGTTAAGAGAAAAATCTGACTCACAATGATGCAAACCAATAGAGTTTTTCAGAATTCTGCAGAAATTGGCTGTCATTGTTGGTTCAGTAGCTCAATAGTGTCAATGACAGTGTTTCTGCCAATCTCATGGCCTCGCGCTCATGGTGGCAAAATGGCTGCCCCAGATCCAGCATCACATCCAGGAAGAAAGGAAGAAGAACAAGGCAGCCATATCCGTTCCTTCCCAGAACCCTCCCCATGAAGATTTATGCTTATGTCCCATTGAACTATGACACATGGCCATGCTAGGCACAAAAGAGGCTGGAAAAGATGATCAGTTTTTCCAGCTCCTATAATGGAGTTGGGCAAAAGTGAAGGGGGTTTGAAAATGAACGTTGGGTTAGCCAACAGTCGTGGTCTTATCTTTTATACACCACCACAATAAGATTTCTAAATGGCGTGTAAAATGCCAGCCTTCCCAGTAGTCCTTAGAAGTATTAACTACCATTAAATAAATAAAATTGCTGATAATCACCTTAGCCCATGCTACATAGGTTAATCACATGAGAGGCAGCTGGATCACAAACCAATGTCTGCATTTTCAAGGCACTCTCCATGTGACCCTTTGCCTCACTGGAAACCACTATTCTTTTTTCAGTCCATGACATCTGAACACATTTGCCATGTTTCTTCAGTGAAACTTGCTTCTTACCAGATGGCAGCTTCACTCACAATTCACACAGTCACCCATCAGTGGGAAAAAGAAAAAAGGGTAACCAGATGAAAAGCAAAAAAGTGATTCAGGAGGCGCTGCCTGTCCTGAGACTAGCAGCTACGTCTCCATGCCTAAGCTATGCCTGTGGCTTCCTCAACAGCAGAGAAGCCTGGGGAAGTGACTTTTCCTTAGCTAGTGGTTGGATTTCTAGGCCATATGAAGGTTCTGTTAATAAGAAAGAAAGGGGAAAACATGAATATTGGGGGAGCTGCTGGCATTATCTACTGCAAACATACACAACTACAACACCAAGGATCCTCCTTATTGATATATTGAATTTTTAGTCTCTGCTTTCAAATGGTAGAATGGCTATCGGCCAGGGTTCTCGGCCTTCCCCAATCAACAGAAATTGATGAGAGGCCAGACAAGAAATTCAGGCAAGGCTTTATTGGGAGCCCCGCCTCAGCAGGAGGGAGTGAAAACAAGTGTGAAAACAAGTAACAGTTTCCCCAGCTTGCTCCCCAAGGTTGGGGGCGGGGCGAGCTGTTCCTGATATGGGGTGAGGGTGGGGTGAGTCCAGGGGTCAGGCCAGAGGGTAGCTTAGGTGTTTTGTCCACCCCTTTAGTGGTGTCGGGTGTAGGAGGCATGCACAGTACCCTGCTTTTGCTCCTGGCTCTTCAGAAGAGGCAGTGGATTTTGAGGGGGCGGGGGTGGGTCTTTTTGTATCATTTTGTCTATAATTTGCCCCAACTGTGCAGGAAGCCAGTTATTTTTAGTCCCGTATAGTTTCTTTGTATTTTTTTGCTCCAGGAGATGTTTGTCCAGGTGCAAGCACTGCAGCAAAGGATCCCAGGTCCCAGGTTCCTGGTCCCAGCCTGTCTCAAAATGAATACAAACTCGTAGATTCTGGCTAACTATCACCCACCCTACTCCGTTTTCAGCCTGTTTCCTTATATTAGGCACTCCTT